AAACAAGCAAATATTATCTAGCACCATGAGGGAAGCTAGGTATTAAGCATCTTAAAACTATTGCCACATTCAACAATGCAGTGAATACCCATCTTCCGTATATTTAATGCATGTGAATGTTGTTGCATGTTTCTTATTGGCAAAAATAACATGGGGAATTTAGGACACATTTTATTAAGTATTATCTATAAAATCAGGCCTATGCTGTTTGATGCCTACAGATCAACTTCTTGCCACCAAAGGGAATTTGAAACACCTACGATTCTTCCTCTTTATAGGAACATTCATGGCTTGCACAGGGATGGGGATAGAAAAATGTGTTTTTCCTCTCCCTGGATACATAATGAAGTTACTGGCAGAATGTCCAGATTGTTGTAGTTAGCTAGTTATGCTGTATAGCACAACATAGCCTTAGTGAAGAGTGTGAATTGCTGGGTGAGTGGCAATTCTGTGTGCTTTGGCTACAGAGGTGAAGAATGGAGAGAGAAAAGCAGGGTTGGGTAGAGACCAAAATAAAAGCATAACAAGCAGAAAGAATCTGCAGGAAGAACAGGAGAGGGCTAAGAATGGCACAGAGAGAAAATGCAAATTCTACGAGCTACAGAGATAAGGGAGAGGGTTCAAAGAAAGGCATGGTAATGTGAAAATGAAAGTATGAAATGTGAGATAGGAAGAAAAGAGTGAATAAATAGAAGTTAAATTAAAAAGATTGGGTTAAAACTATTGCAAAAAGTTTTATACTGTATCTATAATGATGAAGCTCTCTTAGATTATTATACATGTGAAAAAACAGCTTTTGGAGTGTCCAATTTATATTTCACATTTGGGTTGCCTTGGCATAATAATGCAAGCCTCCAGTCCTGGAGGTTTATTCCTGGCTAAAAGCTTGCAGTCCAAAGCTACATGGGACAATATGATATTTTTAAAATGAAAAAGTGGAAGAAATGGAATTGCATCCTGTTCGAAATCATGCCAACTTCTATGACCTAGTACAAGTATACAGTATAGCCAAAAAATTTAGGGATTTCTTTCCTCTCTTCTTTTCTCCTAAGTCTAGTATAACATGGGACTACCACCAATCTGACTTAAAATGACATTGCAAATTGTTTTAAACTCACTTTGGACTTTGGGCTTCAAATTTAGCCTGTTTATATCCCTACCTCATCCCTTATGCTTCCTTTCCTCTCAGCTCTTCCTTTTATTTGTCTCAATTCTTTTTCTGTTCTGTGCTCCTTTCTACAAATAGCAACACTTGGACTCTCATTCCTTTACAGTAATGGTCAGCCACTGATTCTCTTGGGGACCATCTGAAGCTAGATTGCATGAAGATGGATAAGCCCACAGTCCATTTCTAGAACAGACTCTTGGCAAGTCCCAGGTTCATGGCCACACTGCATTCTGCAGATTTTTTTTTGTCTCCATATTAGCAAGTGAGGTATGGGACAAATTTATCTCCAAGTTATTGTGTTACTGATCTAGAGCCTATGAGATACTTTCCCCAACTCTTTTCCCCTTGACCTTACTCAACTGTCAGTTTCACTCATCTGTTGACCTTTGATCTCCTATTGCCTAATCACCTACTGGGATCCCTTCTGTTCCTAAGCTCACCATAACTTGAACATTTGCCTTCCTAGCATCACTGCTTTCCACTCTTCATCTTTTCTGTGAAGAACTTCTGAATTTGGGAGATAGTTTATTGGTCCCAGTTGCCCAGTGAAACAGCAGAAGTCCCTCTTTTTCCTTAGCCACATAGGCATTTTCCTTCACACCAAGCTAAACTCTCAGTACTCCACACAAGGCAGCTGGTCAATAAAGTCCCTCAATCTGGCAGTTGTGAACTACCCACCTTCAGCAAGTCAGTTTTCAAATTGTACCATATTTAGTTGCTTAGAGGAGTAAGATGTGCCTGCATTACAGCTTCTTCCTCTTCTAGTACAAAAAGGACACCCCCTGCACCCACCAAAATCAATTGCCCATTCCTCTGAGACAGTCTTATGTAATTTAATATGTAACTTCCAGGATACAACATTACAATGTTTTAAATGGACCTACTCCTAAAAGACACTTCAGAAACTTCACATAACATAAAACACAGTAGCTGTTTTCTATGCAAGATCTGGAAATAGGAATCTGTCTCCACAAAGTAACTGCTCAGCTGGTTCAGCTATTTGTTTCTTCTATGTATAGTTAAAGATACTTGCTTTCACTTATACAGTCCAAAATGGTCTTGAGTTATGATCAAACAAAAAATGTAACAGTCAAGCTATAGAGCAGAATTTTGGCAGTTGTGGTCCAATAGCTCTCTTTTCCCTTAGGCATTGCATTTTTTTTTGTTTTTTTTATCCTACCTTTCTTATTTTTATACCTAATACTCCTTCTTCCTCCTATTTTCCTGACAACCACCACCCTGTGAGGTGAGTTGGGCTGAGAGGAAGCAACTGGCCCAAAGTCACCCACCCAGCTTTCATACCTAAGGCAAGACTAGAACTCACAGTCTCCTGGTTTCTAGCCTGGTGCTAGGATTTTTTAAATTTCCCTTTTCATCAGCTAATACATTAATACACAGCTATTTTTAGTGATTTTAGGATTGGTACATAATCTACCTCCTTATGTAAAGTACTCTGAAGACATGTTAAAAATGACCATGATTATTTTTTTAGAATTATTCATGAAGCCAACTATACAAATGGTATCACCCCAGTTTGAGGCCATAAATACATGCAAACTGATCAGAGCACTGAATGTGACCCATATACTTCCCTGAAAACAGATCCAGGTTGCCTTACAGTTAGGTGGAGCAGACTGTAGCAAACTAGCAGACTTTGACTGACTGACTGACTGCAGTACACTGACCTACAGGTATATGGATTTTCTTCTAATTGGTACTATTACACCACAAGCTCAAATATTCTCAATGTGAACTTAAAACAAAACAAAATTTCCTCCTCCTTATATCCTACTGTAAACTAACCCTGTAATCAAACCTACATAGATGCATTTGGAAAAATTCCATATTATGTCACTTCCTCCACTTCTTTTGTTTTTCTGTCTGGGTAGCAGGAATTGTCCTCTTCTACTTTGCAAACCGCTATGTATACTGAGGGTACTGCTGTTATTATGAAGAGTTATAATGTTAAGTGACCTCAGGCTAGTCACTGTGTTTCAGGCTAATCTTCCCCACAGGTTTGTTATGGGGATACAAGAGGAAAACACTTCTTACAATAGATATATCATATGGTGCTCTTGGGGAGGGGAGGGGAGGGGATGGGTGGGGAGGAAGGTGAGATAAAAAACCTGTGAATAATACTAATTGTATGGCAATGAAGGTGGTCAGAAAAATGTCATCTCTGCTAAATTCTGTGGCTCAAACCCTTTAAAACTTGAAACCACACACACAAGAAAATGCACAGAGGATTACAAACTCATTCTGACTTTTGGTTTTTGGAGAAGTTCCTTTTTAAGACGAGCTTATTGTGATTTGCTCAGAATACCTGAACAAGGATTTAGAATCAGGGCTAATACTGTAGACATCATTGTCAGCTTGAGGCCACAATGTGCACTGCAAAAGTGAAAGACTACCTTCCCTGCCCCACACTATATTTTCAAAAATAGCACCCGTATGAGCCTGTCTTCTGCAGTGGTAGCAGCACTGCAAGATCTAAGGCAGAGATTATTCCTTTGTTACTCACATACCTTTAATAGGTGCTGTTAGGATGACATGTTGTTTATCTACATGCTAAGAAGTGATCCTGTCACTGAATTACGGCTGTCTCAGAAAGGACACATGTTCATATGAACAGAATTGCCTTATGTAGTCAGGGGATGTCCCCAATCTTTTCTACTGCAGCTTTCTCAGGTGGGGGTCTTTTTCCATTCTGATTACTTGAGATCCTTTGAACTAGATATATCAGGAATGTGATCAGGGATTGTTTGCTTGCAAACGGGATGATCTATCACTGGGCTGTGGTCTTTCCCAAAGGATAAGATCCAGAAGTAGCGTGCAATGTATGTTTGTTTGCCCTGTGGTTTGAATTAACTTCACAAGAGAAACCAAAAAAGAGATATACTCCTTCTGTGCAGTTGTAATACCTTGATCCAATGTACTCTATGAATATTCATCAATCCCCAATAACACTTTCAAGCTCTTTTCTCTTCCCATCCCTCTGGAAAGTACCCTGAAACTGACTGATTGAATCTAATCAACTGTTCCAACACACTTGCTATTTCAATTTATTACTGAAGGCATCAGCAACTTAATATGGTGTCTGCATTTTGTATAATATGACATTGCTTGGGCTTTGCAGCACTCTGCTTGTGAACAATGAATTCAAGTCATGTGAGGACCCTGCAAGGTGAGTCACAGGTTGCAAGGCAAGATGGCACATGAAGTCAGGCCAGCAACTGTACTTCATCACAATAGACTGAACTTTACAACAGCAAGTGAAGTTCATTCAGTCTTTCCATTTGGTTCTTCTTGCTTAAACTTTGGAAAGTTCCTCTGAGCATCTCTCTCTGATCAAAGTAAGAGAATCCAAGACTGACATTCCTGAGTCATTGTGAGAGAGAAGAGGTTTGGTTGTCACTTAAAGCTCTTTACAAAAGGCATGGTAAAATCACTAACATGTGGAAATACTAAATTAGATACATTCCTTATGGCTAAAAGGAACCAAGGAAACAGATTTTTTTTATGAAATAAGCAGAGGTAAAGCCAAAATCATGCATTCAGTGCGAGCACCTCTGATAGTGCATACCTTTGTATTTCATTCATACAGAATAAAATTAAAAATGTCCCTGGGAACAACAGTGTGCTCCCACCCATTCATTTGTTTGCTTAGCTGATAAATAGCTATAAAAAGAGATACAGTGAGAAAAGCTTTGTGAAGCTACAAGGTGGGCAGCACTACTTGGTGGCTTTAGTTACACAGCAATATAAAATACCACTATGGCCAGCAGACCTACCACCGGATTGGACAAGTGCAACAGAATAAAGATTTCCTTACCTGCAACAGTTTCCCTTCAGCAGGGGTGATCTCTGCGATGCTAGCAAAGACTCCTTCCAGTGTAAGGGGTTCCAGCTTGAAAGGAATTACCCGAATTATTGCCTTCTGGGCCAAAGTCCGCTCAGCTTCCATGGCTGCCACCAGTGCCAGTCCTGAGTAGCCTAGTCGTATCTGCAGCATAGCCATTAGCAGCCAAGGCCAGAGGACTGCCAGCTGTAGCTGGGGGCCAACACTCATGCTCCCAGCTGCAGCAGTGTGCTCTGGCCACACATACTGCTCAGGAATGTGTCCTCACCCCACCAGCAGGTTCCAACAACTGGTAAAATTGTTGAGGATTATAGCCCTCCGTGTAACTGCAGTCAATGGGGCAAACAAGAAGCAAAGGAGAGTTACCTGGAGCTTCTTCCAGGCTTTCCTCTCCCCTTAGTCTCAGCGTTTCTTCATGCCACGTGTTTGTAAAAGCCTTGAGCTTCACAAGATTATAAGAACCCCAGATCAGGTCTTCCTCCTCCTCCTCCTCCTCCAGATAAATTCAGACATGATGAGCAAAACCAAGGGGGCATGAATAGCATATGGTATGAAGAGTTCTTGGTTCCTTCTAGGAAGAGTGCTGGAGCTGATTTTAGACAGTTCCCCATGGAAGGCAATATCAGCTTCCCAAATCCTTTTAGGCTTTTAGATCCTAGGATGGCAAACAGGACCAAACCCTGATATCAGATGACCTTAGCAGCCCTTGTTGACTCCTGATCAGTGAATTGCTTTTTCCATATATTCTTTTCTGTTAATGCTAACTACTTTTGTCTTTCTCTTCTATTTATGCCACACACTAAAGGACAAAGTAACCATGGATGTACTTGCATTTAGGAATTAGAATGCAAACCTGTTTTTTCTTACTCAGTTAAATCATTGTCATCTGTTTGATCTTTTATTCATCTTTGCATGCCTCTAATGCCTGTACTTCACTCACCTCATTGTATTAAAGTAAGTTTTTTAAGTTGGAATTTTCCAGCGATTTGTCATTTTTAACACAGAAAATATAGTCTGTGGCTCCCCAAATTTATGAAATAAAAAAGGCATTTCTCAGATGTTTTCCAGAACTTGGAAGCTAAAAAACAGGAAAAACAACTACAGATACACCTGTGTGTTTTATTTCATTCCTGTGCAAATCTCAGAATGCTTTTCCTTTTAGAAGTTAAACACAAATGAAGACAATTAAACATTAAAAAGCATGCTCCACAGTTAGTGATTATAGCTGTAGAAAAGCTGTAGACATTTATCAGCTAAAATGTTTGATCATAGAAAGAAAAAAATAAATTTAAACTGGTATGCAAATCTGTTACTAGTCTTGCCTCTATGAGAAAAAAAAAATAACCCCAGCAGCTTTTTGAAAAATCATGGACAGAATATTTTAGTTATCAAAATGTATGCTGACTCTTACCTACAGGTTTCAGGGAAGGGAAGGATGGTAGGGAAAACTCACAGAAACACTCTATACAGGTAAATGTGAAATTCCAGAGTCTGAATCAGAAGGAAAAATTGACTCCCGGCTGAAGGCTTGTGGGTCAGGCGTGGTTGAAATCTAGTCTCCAAAAACAACTTTAAAATCTTGCTAAAAATCCAGGAGAATTTCTGAAAATTCCTTTTGAATTTGAGCAAAGTAGTCTCCCCTTCTTTCAGCAAATACAGTAGGCATATCTAAGCAGTAAGCGGGATAGTAGTTGCTTGAAACAGCAGATATCCATCAGAAGACTGCATTAAAAACACAGTGCAATAATTCTTCAAAGGCAAAACAGGGCCCAGTGGGATGAAGTGGACTTGAGAAGTTCCGCAGAGCTCCTGGGAAAGCTTTCTTTCCAGAAAATCACAACTGGCTTAGCTCCTGGAAGGCAAAAGTAGCTTGTGCTCTCTGCCTCCCTCTCCTAGGACTGCAAGCACTTTCTACCTGCTGACACAAAGTGAGGGTGGAGCAGCCAAAGGCAATAACTCCACCCCCTGAATGTGATTCTCAGAGTTCCTAGACTCCCTCTCCTGATTCAGTAGTAAATTGCACTTAACATTTGCTTCCTTCTGACATCCAGATTGACTAGCTAGTCTATATGAGCAAGATTCACTTGCTGCTTCTTCCAAACAATAGAGAAATGGAAAGGAAAAGTGAATTAGTTTGCTCAAGTTTGATAGGACAAATCTTTGTTTCAAGATTTTCAGTATGACACTTTCAAAGACACTGAAATTAGAAGTACAGTAATTTCACCTATGAAGGAAGGATTGACTCATAGCTGGAATAGCTAATGTCTGTAGCTAACTTTTCTTCAACTCTAATTTTGGTTGTGTTGTTTTTTCCCAATAGCCACTGCAAGGAAGATTTTAGGTAATGCTGATTTTTAGAGATCTGGAATTCAACTATTACTGTCTTCTGACATCAGCTGGGTGAGTAATACCACAGGCCAGACAGGCAACTTCAAAGCAAGGTTACTCAATTGAAGTTGTAATTTAGGATGTGGTATAATTCCACTAGGCACAGCAGTCAGATTACTAGAAAGTCAGGTATTCAGTAATGTACAGAACTCTATGCCATAAACCAGTTTTGCAATAATTTTATTTAGATTTGGAGGAAGGTCAATTTTCTTTAAATAAAAGAAGGAAACTATGGATATTGATCTAGTGCCTTGTTCTTTTTATTATCAATGAAGATCTCCCATTTCTAGGTTGATACTGAATTTCTTGTTTTAAATTGCTTACAAAATAGTGTTAAAACTAATTGCCTATGTGGACTGTCCTTTCACTTTAGTACACTTTTGAGGGTGGACTGATTTGGTACTTAATTTTACTCAAAATCAAATATTTTACTCTCCCATAGGGCTATGAGACCTGAGCAGCAAAACTCCAGATAACCACTAGATGGCAGCACAAGGATACAGAAAATTCAACCCATGTTCTGCTGTCTAGCTATTCTGGATTTTTGCCATGCAATCTGGTAGTCCTACTCAAGTATTACTATTAGCAAACACTGGACTTCTTTGAAATAGTCCTTTTTACTGTTTATTAATAGAATACATTTTAGCTGAAAACTGTGAAAGTACTGAAAAGGTTATTCTGGATAGAGTTATTTTACTAGCATCAAGCAATATTGTAGAGATTCCTGAGACAGTTTGAATATTTTTTTTCTCTTTTGCCAATTTGAATATTCTTTCTTTTCTACAAATGCTTAAGTGTCAAATAACCAGGCCTATAAATATGGTAGGAGATCCAGCTCCTTGGCCTCATTTTCCAGTTAGTTTACAGACAGTTGTAAAGATATAAATATTACCATTTCCAAACTGAGCCTTAAAAATAGAGGCCCATGTAAAAGTTCTTTATTAATAATTGTGAATTATTAATAAAGCTATGCTACAAATATTTTCTGTAGTCCAATCAGGTATGATAAAGAATGAGCTTCATTTGCAAAATTTATATGGATTAGCAACAGACCTGAACCAAATGCCTGTTTTTAGTTTAAGTGAGGACCAATATATGAACACCTCTTACCACTTTTCAAACTCAGAGACCTTGCTAGGTATTGTCTCTGCTTGTGTGGCATTTTATTCTTCACCTAATTCCTTGTCTTAAAATAAGACTGAATGTATAGATGGACAAATGGGGCCTCTGAAAAATTATTGGAGTTATCTCAAAACAATCAGTATATCAAAGCAATGGAAGCTTTGCAGGAAATGATATGACATTACTGTCCTGCAAACTCATTATGAGGCTGTAGCTGAGTTTGTGTGGCTGACTTTGGTTCATCCTGCCATTCATTGAGAGATAATGGATGTAAGAAATCTAGAAACTGCAGAAAGTCAACTGGAATAACAGATCTATCTGATCTCTCTGAGATTTTTGGGGAAATATATCCTTATGCATTTTTCACAGTTCTGGGAAATCAGAATAGTCTTGAAGCACATTCTCATCGTGCTACATCATTTGCATGTATTCTAATTACAACATAAATACATATGAGTACAAAGTCGTGACTCTTTAAAATCTATTGTCAATAAATACAATCACGTTGAACAAGTTAAAATAGCTTGCAGACATTTAAGCTAAGCAATATAATAAAACAACATAAGCCTTAACATTTGTTTTACGTTGGCCGTAGAATGAGGAAATTATTAAAACACAAGAATATTCCATTAACATAAAATATCCAGCAGCTATTATAGATGGAACAAATGAAGAAAGAAGAAAACTTCTTGTGTAATTAACTAGAAAATGAGATAAACAGTCCTCAAATGAAATGTGAACAATCCTATAGGGACATTGCTGGCACCTGTTTGAAATACAGCTTTTCCACTTTTAACAGATTTGGACAAATAAATTTACTAATTAGATGAAACAGGCTAAAAAAATAATTTAAACCTATTAAAGAGGTATATTAAAAACAGTGGTGGGATTATTTACAAGTGTAACAAAAATGAGCAATGGAAGAGAGTTTTATTTATCATAACAGTCCCCAAAATACTCCTGGAATGAAAGCCACTGCTCTTCCCCAGCTGGCTACTGCTCAGTATTTGTACATACTTTCCACCAACTTCTCACTCCCTTAATTCTTCTTCCTTTGGAAAATGCTCTTGCTTGCAAGCCACATCCACTAGCAAATGTAGATCTAGGAAGAACACAAATGGCAATCCAATATTTATTTTGTAGGTGGGTGCTTAAGATGTAAAGTACATCTTAAGAGATAGAAGATGTACCCCTGTCTGCCTTAACTAATGGGGTTCCAGACCCATATTTGCCAGGTAAATAGAACTCCCCAGCAGCTGTGGCAGAACAGAGTTCAAATGAAAAATTAGGCATTTTCTTTCTTGCCATATTGGACAGATACAAAGTGAGTAGTGGAAGTCAGTGCACAGATGGCCACTTACAAATCCACAGCTGCAGATAACCAATCTGGTTTTTTTTGGTGGTATCTTTGTATTATGCATACAGGTGAATAATTAATAACTATAGTTAAAGAATATAGGACGGGTACATGAAGATACAATAGAATGCAGGTAGTCCTTGGGTTAAGAACACTCAGTTTAAGGACGACCCATAGTTAAGAACGGAGCCTACTGTAGCAAAATTAAAGTTAAATACACAATTATTCAAATTAAATACACAATGGTTCAAGTTAATTATACAATTATACAGTATTATACAATAATACTCTTCCAGCTTATATACAAATTTGACTTTAAGGACAGACTTTGGGAATGGAACTCATTCTTAAACTGGTGACTACCTGTACAGCCCTTGCTAAAGGTCACATCTGCTTTGGCTTTAATATTTTATCTGTAATACCAAATAAAGGTAGTGAGTTGCAATCACACTGTTGCTTAAGTCAAGCAGACACCCTTCTCAGAAAGGCAGTAGATGAAGATGAAGCATCACTGACTGAGCTTGGAGATTTAATAGTGTTAGTATTTTTATTTAGCATGCACTTATATATTAAGTGCAGCACAAGCAGACAACAATAAAAATCACAGCATAGTATTTCAAGAAGAGACAACCAATTAGGAAGCAGTATAATGTGTCAACCCATTTCCAAATATTCATCAGAATGAGGAAGGTTGCTGCCACAACTTTTACACTCCTGTAACAAGATTTCAAAAGCCACAGGACTCATGTACCCAAAGAGAAATGTCACTCCTGGATAAAATAAAGTCCAATCAGGGAAGAAATTATTAAAGTCACAAGCATCCATTCCTAACCATCATGATGCCAAAATGATGAAGCATACATTGTGAGGTCATGATGTAAGCTCCACACTTTCAAACTTGTGTCACAACATTGTATGCAAGTACATAAAGGGCAGAGTTTGCATTGTGATGTCACAACAATGTTTTATCCATAGCACTCCCACCCCATAGATGTCTATGGTCAAAGTACCAAAATTTCCTCTCAGCAAAACAGAATGCTCTCTGAGATGCAATTGCTATGATGATTAGAAAAGAACTGAAGGAAAATGCCGGGAGTAAAACCTAGGGCAAGTAAGGAAGGTAAGTGTGGGGCTTCCTGCCAAAGATCTCAGTTTTAAAACGTTCCAAAGATGCTACACACAGGCCCAAAACACATAAGCACTGCAATTTACAACAAAGACTTAATCATTGCAGAAAATATGATTTTGGCATAACATTTCAAACTTCCTTAATGATAAGAGTTGTTTGACATTTGAACAACCTACTTCAGGAGTTGTTGAGTTTTCTTTTGCTAGAGGTGTGTAAGGCTCTGAAGTTCTATTCTGTCCTGCAGATCCTGCACAGGGCAGGCCTAAATGACACTCAAAATCATTTTCAGATCTTTGACTGTACTTTGATTGTATGGTCAAGAGATCAGATAAAGGTCAACAGATTATACATTGTTATCCCTCATTCTAGTGCTCAAATTCGCCTTCAGCTGAAACCCTATACACAGTTTTCTAAAAGTAAGTGGGCCTAACTCTGAACAGAAAAATTATGTATACAGTTCTGCTGTACATCTCTTTGACTATGGTTAAGAACTGCATGAGGGCTGATCAGTGTTAACCATAGTGCATTAGTAATCAGGGTTTTTAACATGTCCCAAACTCATATTTCAATCTTTGTATAAAATATAACTCTGGTTCATGTTAACTATCATTAATGCTGGTGTCTGAGGAACTCAGACGCAAAATTCCTCTGCAAAATTGAGGAAAAGCTTCAAGTATTTCCAACACAAATTTATATGAGAAAACTCGGAAACCCTGCCATTCTTACCAGGGGATTTGCCCTTCTGTGAACTGCTCCTTCTTTCTCTGCATTTGGTTTGGATGGATGAAACTGAATCTTTGGCACATTTGCTGAGAGGACCCACCTCTGAAACGAGGAAACCAATTTGTTCTGAGGATGCAACAGTCTCTGATGTATTTGTCTGACACTTTATATTAGGATCCTCCTTATAAAGAAGTAAAACACACAAATAAACAATAATTTTATTTTAAAAATTTCAGGTAATAATGGTGTAGGCCCTTGAAGCCCTTTCTCCACAATACAAGACTTATTTCATTTATAACCTGTTACTATTCCAGGGCCTCAGGATGGCCTATATTGTTTTCCCACCTATGATGCCTTAGACTTAAGAAGGAAAAGTAGGAAGCTGATTATCCAAGATTTCTTTAAAAAGGCTAAATGTGCAAAGGCATATCCAGAACCACCACCAGAATGTATGGGTTTTTCTATTGTGGAAAAGGACGTTATCTTCCAAGGAACAATTAAACTTTACCTTTATTATCCTCACCATCATCTTGATTATTACTGTCTTCACCGTCATCCAAATGGGCATCATCACAGCAATAATGGTATGAATTATCTCAGAAACATAATTATTTTCACACACAATGTATTTTTCACTATTCTTTGTCATTATTTAATGCCCTGAATCATGACTTAGTTTATGACTTAGTTTACTTAACCCTACTTACCCCATAAGGTATTAAATTTATCATCTTGAATTCACTAATTGGAGGGGCTTTTCAAGAATGGAACCTGTGAGGAGTTACTGACTATAGTTTAGAATGCTTTATGAACTCAATTAAATAAACCATAGCTTAATGCAACATGTATACCTAAGATAGTCAAATGAGAATTTCATGGTTGGTTGAGGATCTAAATTCAGGTTTCCTTAGTTATAATCCAACCTATGATCATGACAATAATCTTCACATTATGACTGCAATCATGCAGTAAACTTAACCTGCTTATCAAATTAGCCCATTTACTGAGTTTACACAATTCCCTCAACAATAAACAAATGAAACTGGCTGGGTTCACACAATATGTTGAGTGACAAAAAAGCTAAGCAAAGTTAACCAAGCTTAGAATGTTGTGTGAACACAGCTGCTAGTTTTTTTAACTGACCTGTCAAGTATGTTACGTGAACACAGCTAATTAACAAAACTTTAATAGTGATTATAATACTATTTATAAGTGTTAATTATGCAGTATTTGTATTTTGTAACTTTGGAAAGCAAATATTTGATGATGCCATAAATACGTTGTTTTGATTCTAATTTAAATATTTGCTTACTACTAAAGAACACTGAGATGAGATTATCAATACAGAATATATCATAGCTTTTATATTGCTCCGTACCTGTGGCTGACTGAATGGAAGTTCCTCCTGTACAAATACCATGGAAGACTGTGCAGAAGACTGGTTCAGTTGTTCTTTGACCTTTGCTGATGTTTGAGGTGTGACTGTAGGCTGCTGCACTATTTGAGCTGTGGTATTCTCCACAGGTTCTGTGGTATGAATAGCATAGATAAATTCTGGAGACTGTGGCAAGGAGCATGCTATAGCTTGTTCAGACTCTACAACAAAGGATGTAATATCTGAGCCTACAGGTGTCAGAGGTTCTAAGTGGCTGGTTTGACCTGAAGAAGCTGTATCGCTGTTCCCTGGATTAACTATTAATTGCTGGTTTCGGTTTGACTGTGAAGTTGGACATTGGTTCTCCACTGGTTCTACTTTTACCATTTCCAGCTTTGGGGATGAATGCATTTCATCAACAATCTGGAAGACAGCTTCTAGATTGACTTCTGTCTTTTTGTTTTCATCAGAGGTGTTGCAAGACCAATTAGAAGGCAAAAATTCAACTGGATATGAAGATTGCATTGGTGGATTCTGGTGAGAGACAGACATTTGTTTGTACATTTTAGACTAAGTGCTGCTGAGTAAAACAAGACAATATAACCCAATAATACATCTGTCTTTAGCATATACTGTCTATATAGCATTATTACTTTTGAAAGAAATACAAAGAATAAAAAATCTTCATTAATATATTTTAAATCTGGTGTCCTCCTCATTGCTTATCCCTAAAAGAAAAGGCTATAGGTAAATAAGCAAGCAATCAAGCAACGAACTAAATAAATATTATTTGTATTTAGTATAGCAATGTTGCACTAGAGACTGTTTTGGACTGGGCTTTCTGACATTCTTCAGAAATCTTGGGGGAAATTTTATTGCGTGAACAATTTATATTACTTTGGAGCCAAAGCAATTGACATAAAACACTTAAATATTTATTTATTTATTTATCAAATTTGTCACCGCCCATCTCATTGAAATGGTTTACAGCAAAGATAAAATTCATTAAGATACAATATAAAACAATCCTAATAATAAATGACTTCCAAAAAGATAGTTGATGAATAACTCAGCAAGCGTCAGGGCGCTAACCACCCCCAGGGATGGTTAGAGCTCATGTTGCCCCATGCATGCTGGCAGAGCCAGGTCTTTAGTCCTTTTCGGAAAGCTGGGAGGGTAGGGGCCCGCCACCCCTCTGGGGGGAGAACGTTCCAAAGGGCGGGGGCAACAGCAGAGAAGGCTCTCCTCCTGGGCCCCACCAGCCGACGTTCTCTCGCTGACGGGGTCTGCAACGTGCCCTCTCTGCCTGACCGGGTAGGGTGGGTTGATGTGACAGGGGTAAGACGGTCCCTCAGGTACCCTGGTCCCATGCCATGTAGGGCTTTAAAGGTGATAACCAACACCTTGAATTGGACCCGGAAGCAAACTGGCACCCAATGCAGCTCCTGCAGCAAAAGTGTTACATGTGCCATCCTAGGGGCACCTAATATCATCTGCGCAGCTGCGTTTTGAACCAGCTGTAGCTTCTGGATACTCTTCAAGGTTAGCCCCATGTAGAGCGCATTGCAAAAGTCTAGCTGAGAGATGATTTAGATGTTAAATATAGATGTTTATGGTTTCATAGGAACTATTTTCCCTAAAAAGAAAATACTTAACAGAATTTTTAAAGATTATATATCATTCTACAACTATTATACAGGAAAAAGAACATTAACATCCACTTATTTTGGGGCTTTGTAAACAAGTAATTTCTAATTATTGAAGTAATTTGCCATGAACAAAAATTATACCTCAGTGTTGAGCCACAAATATAATAAACTTGTGAGCAAAGGAATCAATCTGGTGTTTCTCAAATTTACCCTTTTAACATTAATGCCATACACCTAACTACTACTGAAACAAAGTGAACTTTCAAAACTTCACTATGATATGGCACATCAGCAGGGTCAGCTTTCAGAGAAACATACGGTATATTGCACTGGACATGTCTCAGATAGGTCACTGGAACCTAGCCAGTACACTCACCTGAAAATAGCTGCAGTGTGTATAGATTGAGGCTGTAGGACTACCACAACCACTTAGGGGATCCATATGGGTAGGTGGAGAGCAACACTGTAATACAGCTAGAAAGAAAGGAAGAAAAAAATTAAAAGGCAAAAGTGATATCCCCAGTTATTAAAAGGGATTTTCTGAATTGCATTTTTAATACTATTGTAGTTCTGCTAACTCTAATCTATCAGTAGATTATGGTATGGGATCAGGCATATGCCATAGACCTATATAAAAAGTATACTTAGTCTGAGGACTGATAAAATAATCTTACTTCTCTTTTCAAGCACTACCAGAGCGCCTTTCCCTTCCCATAAATAAATTTAAACAGATTGTTAGAAGGGGTTCTATAAATATAACCTCCTAGGAAAACTGAAAACAGTTCTCTGCTGGGTAAAATACATTAATACATTCCCCCTCCCAAATCAAAAGCAAGCCTTGAGCCCCATATATCATGTCAATATAGACCAGCCAAGCACAAGCAACATGGGAAAAGACTCTCTAGGGAAATTCTTTATTAATCCAAGATTTGTGAATAGCTAGATTCAGGGTTGGATTGCCAATCACTGTTTTGTAAGGGATTGTGCCTTACAGATCAAAATTTCTCTGTCCCAGAGTCTGGGCCTCTATGATAAGACCTGAACCCCACTGCTTGGACTGGCTACTTAACCTCGTTAGATAGGAAAACGTAGATAGGTCTTCAAATAAGCAAATGCAGAAAAATGCGTAACACAGATTATTCTTCTTTTATTTCTGCCATCATTGGGTAGTTAATCTGTCTCATGTATAGCAATTTTTTGAGCCCATGAAATGAGCCTATGTGCACACTTTTTCACCATTATTAAGCCCAATTTATATAGAGAGTCAGCTAGCAAAATGTGTAAAATCACTCAATGAGTGATTAGATGAACTGGAATTTATGCCCAGATATGTCTCTGTATTCTGAAATATACTTTCCAGATAGGCAAATGAGAATGCAGGGCCAAACTTCATCAGTCTAGATTTTGTCTCAAGTCTTTATTCTTCTCTTATGGTGATACTTTTTCTTTAACATGTTCCTCCTCTATCCAGGAAATTGTAATATATCCTATTAGACAAAACTGTTTATATCATGGCTACTAGTAGCCTGATAATACTATGCATATTTCTTCTTCTAATTCTGGCTATGTTTTGGTGTGCTAGGATTTGAAAATATAGCTAGGGATATTATTTTGATGAATCTTTCCACTCACTGAAGAAAAAACAACACAAGAGTCCCCAAACTACTTGTAATCTACCTGTGGCAAATTGAAAACAGGCTCACATCCAATAATTTTTCTTTAGCTAGACTATAGAGTTGAACATAGGCTGCATCAATAGCATCACCAATTTCTTTAATAACTTAAGTTTTTTTTAGGCACAGCATCACCGAAGAGTGTTGTGGAGTTTATGATGGCAATATTGCATAAAGGAAAGAAAGGACTAGCTTTTAGTTATAATATTCAACCTCACTGGATATTGTACACAACTAATTTATAGAACCAATTAAGAACAACTTTTGAAATAAGTTTAAAATGTAAATTATCAGATTATCATTCAGAAAAATGATTGTGTTGAATCTTCTCTATTCTTTGATTTTATACTTTTTTCCCTCACAGGCTTATAATCCTACTGCTCTGAAGTCATTTTTAACCAAATATCTGGTTATGACCTCAGTAGAAGAGCACAGCTTTGACAGCACTGATGTTTAAAATAGAACAGTCTGTCTGAACATTTTGTTTGCTTCTTGTGTTAAGGCAAAATCCCAGGGCTGCTTTACCTAATATGAACAGCACAAGCTAATATGACAGAGCCATCAGTCCTTGCTAAAACTTCAGTGGGTGCAATGTAAACATTAAATAAATGTATGCCGTTGTATTATCACATATACTAGAACACACTGCATAAGCCATGGATCTCTGCAGCAAGATTTCAGGATATTTGAAGTTTAAAAAATAGACATACTGTATGTGCTTCATTAGTCCATGATCAAGGTGTGAGATATGGACTCTGAATGCATATGAAATAGCTTTTAGGCTTAAGCCATGAGTCAAAACATTGTCATTTTATGATATTATTGAAAATAATTGAGTATAGATGTTTGGGGTAGATCACATCAAATATCAAGTATTTAAGAAGTAGCTTGTGATTCTATATAGTAGATACAATTCTAAAGTATAAATGTAAGTATAAAAATAAATATAAATTCCAGGCTAGGTTCTTTTTCTTACATTTCCAGTTAAAAGAACTGTGGAGAGCTGCCATCAGTATTTTAGATGATAGCTTGATGGCTGGATTATCTCATTGCTTTGAGACAGATGACTACTATTGCAGAGATAAGAAAAACTGTGTAACTTCAGATATTGTTGGACTTCAACTACTATTAGCTGCAGGTGGCAATACCAGAGGTCACAACTAATAGCTGTAACACAGTATCTAGCAGGCCACAGAAGCCCCAAATGTTCCCTAGTGCTCCTTTCCTCTAAACAACAAGCAGAATTGCCAAGGCATTTCTATATTATCAGGGATACCATATCCCAAGTCCTACAAAGAGACAATCTACATATTGTACATTAATACAAATTTGCATCTGTATTATTACAGATCAGATATTTTAATAGTTTTGTGGTAGGATGGGAGATTTTCTGTTGCTGCTACTGTTAAAAAACAAAACTTTGTTGATTATTCATTAGTTTACTAAATTTCTGTCTACCTTCTGTCCCCTGCTAGTCTAAAACATACTTTTATGTTTTTGCTGAAATAAACTAATATTGGAACATGTTACCTGTTGGATAGTAAGCTTGGGAGTATGGTGCTGAAGCTGCATAACTGGTATATTTCTGGGAAGATGTGGCCATTGTCTGAGGCCCTTGCTGAATGTGCACAGATGTAGAGCTGGGCTGCAGAGTGTAAGTTACCTCTGTTGGGAACCTCTGCAGCACGGGAAATGGGACCCCCTTGTCTGAAAAAGTTGACGTCTCCACCTGCCCTGGGAGCATTCCAAGGGAGTTCTGCCATGTTCTGGGAGGAAAAGGAGTCCGATCGGAACCTTTCAGTGGAAAAGCATTTTGGTTGTGAGATGACGGTGACAGGTAGGAATAAGGAGATAAACTGTCTCGCCGAAAAGATCGGTGAACCTGCTCTAAAGTCAGTGGTGCTGGAGATGGAGAGGAAAATGAGAAATTTGATAGGTTATCAAACATAAGTCAGAAACCACTAAGTCTATAATATTATATAATCATTTCTAAGCATATTTGCCTTGATTAGTTTTAATCAAATGTTATAGCAAACAGTATTCAAAGAAATAATTTCCTAGTAAGAATTGGAAGAGAAAACTCTTAATTTGAATCAATTGATATGTATCAATTGATCGTATCATTGACGTATATGACTCTGGAATAGGATTTCCTTAAATGAGAGTTAGCCCTGCTTTGGATATCAAATCATCCCTGTGATATTACCATAGGGTTAGGAAAAGCATAGAATGATATATAACTTGGATATCAGAGAGAAGACAAAAGCCGTTTAGATGGTACAACTATAACACCAATGGGCTGATTTATCACCACCACTTGATTGCTATGTTTGATACTAGGAGTATCCATTCAGAATCAACTAGGATAGAGCCTTTTTTAATAATAGTTCACAGTAACAATAATATACAGTAAAAATAAAAGCTACTAAATGAACATCTAAGAAATAATCTGGGTTAAAAAATCATACTTAAAAAGCGTTCATCTGGCACCAAGAGAACAACACTAAAAGTGTCAGAGTATTCTACAAATGGAAGGCTCTTTCTCTGTTTGCTACTTGCCATAACTCTGAAAGTGAGTTATGGCAAGTAGACAAAGGCCTCAATAATAGTCTACAAGTAAGCTCATGAAAGTGTTCTTCAGTTACTGTAATTTCAAGTTGTGAAGAATGTGAGATAATAACCAGCAGCCTAAATTAGATCAGAAATGGGCCAGAAATCAGTAGTTCTTTGTGCTATTAAATGTATTCCAAAAATGTTGTCTTAGTTTGCAGGCTCAAAGATTTTTAAAAACATTTTTACAATTTCTGAGCTACCTTCTGAGTTACATTCACATACAACTTGATGCAATAGCCTAACTGTAGGCTGGTATATCTCACTACCTATTCCTGAAGATCATAGCTCTGTCAAGTGACACATATCTTAGGTACATCATGCCTGTGTATTACTGCAATATATTCTATATGAAGCTATCTTTGAAATGTTAGGAAACTACACTTGATCCAGAATGCAGTCACCAGGCAGTTTAGCAGTTATCACCTATTGAAAGTTTGTGAGTCTCTTATTTAAAGCATTGCATTGGCTTCTAGTTTATTCTGAACCCAATCTAGAGGACTGATGATATTCTTTAAAAACATTTTATTTTGGGACCAGAATATCTGAAGGACCACCTTCTGCTGTTCACACAATCTAAGGAAATTTTCAACAGAAGTCTTAGTGCTAATATACTCTCAGAAGTAGTCTTGTTTGGAAAGAGAACTTTTTCAGTACCTATACCTTATCCCTCCCAAATGAGGTTTGTCATAATCTTTGTTTTGGACTTACATTGGATAGTTCATATATTCTAAGAGTGACTATTCTCTCATTGCTTTAACTTGCTAGGAGCTGTTCAGTTAAATTATTTAAATAATTACCAGTAAACATAACATTTTTTCTGCTGTTTTATCACATCCTCCTACTTTATTCTTATTTTACAATTGTAAGAAATATTTTGTTTGTTAAAATATTGTTCGCCTTCTTGAGCTTGACTAGAAACGTATAAAAATGTAAATGAATGTGTTAGGAGGAGCAAGCAAAAAATTTCTGTCAGATGAGATGACAAGTAGGACTATAAAGCATGAAAGTGGCATCATATTGGACAATGCAGGTGATTGCACTGAAGTAGGAAAGAAAAATGCGTACATCTATTTTTCCATATGTATGTTATATTTCTATGATTTCACACATTAAAACTGATGTGCATGTATTTGTTACATCTTATGATATATATGGGCTTTTCTTACATGAGTGTGATATTTGTGTAGCAATACTGTCTTATGTGAAAAGATCCTAATAACAGGATGCAATGAAAAAGGAGGAATGACACATTGTTCTTCTAAGCTGCTTACAGTGGCCAGCTGTGAAGTACCTCTTCCACCTGTTTGGGAGATTTCTACCTTTTCTCCCCTGACTGCAGTGGTGGCTCTGAATGAAAAACAGCATACCCCATTAAGAATTGAGAGAATAGAATGCCTACTCCAGTGCTCCCCCTCCTGTTCCTTTTGTTTCAATTTAATTCACCTGCTAGTAATCTTAAGACTGATCTTGATGAACACTTTAGTCTATTTTCATCCTGGTCCTATGAATAACAAGCAATATTTAATGTTTCTATAGCCATAGCCACTAGTAAACTTGGTGCTCAAGCTATCCATGACATGCATGTTTGTTCATAGGAGATTATTGAAGACTTAAATGCTAGAAAAACACTTGGAAAAAGAGCTGTACTAATCAAAAGAATGGTGATAGTATGAAATGCAAACAGCACCGACTATTTAAGGCAAATATTGAGAAACTGCAAAAAATTAACCACTGCAAGCATACTCTTAAAAGATGGAGCTGATAATACATGTATAAGCATATCTCTTCTTCCAAATCAGCCAGCTAAACCTCTGCAGTTTCTCAGATTTTTTTAAAATTAATTCCCAGCATCCTTTGAGAAAAACAAAGGAATTACACAAATCATGTTTAATCATGATTTATGTAATGAATTGGCTGGATTCACAAAACATGCTAAACCCAAATAAATCTTCTATTTTATGATTTATCATGATGTAAACTCAACTACTAATCAGGTTATATAAAGATTTGGCAGAATAGCACCAAGTGGGGATTATAATTCTGAATAATTTGTATAGAGCATATGCAACATCTAAATGAATGGGTGAATCCTGCTCCTCATTGGATCTATCACCCTCGTAAAGCACTGCATAGCTCAAATCTGCAGAGTAGGAGATAGAGTATGTACAGTGTCAAAATATTTTATCTTGTCTGGAACATACCTTTTCAAGCAGAGTGGGTTCAGAATGGATTTTCCTTCTGTCTTTCAATAGTTATTAATAGATGCAATAGGTGGGGATTGAAATTTGTGTGAGATTTTGTTATAGATTAGAGAGTGATGGTTATTTTTTATTACAAGAATGTATTTGGGGATATGTTAAACATTAAAATAATGTTTCTGTTCTGAAAACATTTATTTGCAAAGGAATTTTGTTGACTTCAGTGAGATCTATTTTAAAACCTGAGCTAGTAAATTGGAGGAGCGGAGATTCTGTAACTAAAAACATTATGCCTACAGGTCCATAATCACTCAAAGAATATAATGTGTGGCAGACTAAAGGACTTTATCCAATTGCCAGACTTCAACATGGAAATGTGCGGATTTTGCATTGACATTGGATAACTACAGATTTGAGCCAGGACCCTTGGATGGCTTACACTGCTTGTTAGTGACTGCATGGCTTCATTTACACAATGCACTTAACCGATTACAGAAAATTCATTTTCTGGTTCATGTAATACATTGAACAATTAACTAATCAAACAGCGTGGCTTTGTATAGTATACTAGGCCACATAAAAGCTAACCAAAACTATAGCAATCAAGCTTAGTATATTGTGCAAATGTAACCACTAGAACTTTAACTGATCTGGTTAAGTGTGTTGTGTGAACAAAGCCAGTGAGTTTATAGGTTTTATTCCTATGACACACTGAAGAGCCAATCATATTTGACTGGATGAACCTTGGCTATGTGTTTCATACTTCAGTGTGCAAACCCAGAATGCTAAGTTGAGCAAACAGTGGTCCAGTTAGGGTAAAAATGATGTACCAATGCAGCCATAAGGGCACAGAGAAAGCTCAGTGTTGTTAAATCTAAGGGCAGTAACTCTTCATTGTTTTTCCTACAAAGATTGAGATGCTCATGATGAAATTGGAGAGCTTCTGAACATGCTTTTGCAGTGAACTGGGGTTCAACTCTGGCAGACTATGGTTCCTGAAGACACAAGGTGCATTCTGCAAATGCTCATGGTGCCATGTCCCCAACGCTGAACCTTTATTGCTATTACGATATTGTTGTTGTTGTTAGTAACATTCTTATTGCACAGGGGAGGAGGTGCTGTTCGTGGCAATCGCGCCCTCCTCTCTCACCGGGCTTGTCGTTGTTCTTGGCAGCCACGGCCCCGGCATGTGCCGGCGGGGGATTGTGATGGTGCTGATGTTGCTGGCTGAGGAGGGCTTCGCCACCGTGAAGGGAGGTGCTGAGGAGGCGCTGGAAGCGGTTGGGCGGCCGGCTGGTGACTTCCAGGCCTGCGGCGAGCTTGGCCTTGTTCGCGCTGGTCAGGCGTTTGAGGTGCACCAACAGATCGGGCCGGTCGCGGCGAAAGTGCGGGCTGTGGAAGTGGTGCAAGGGGCCGCCGGGGGCCGAGGCGGCGGCTGAGGCACCTGCGGTGGATCCGCCGCCAGACGAGGATCCGCCGCTGCCTCC